CTCGGCAACTAGCTTGGGAAAGCGTTGCTTGGGCCGCATGCAGTTTGCTACCCTGGGTTTAAATAGAGACAGGAAGAGGGAGGATCCACAGGATAGGCCACAAGCGGACTGCACTGATTGGCCGAGAAGCTGTATAAGAAACAGCAGGAGAGGTCGGCCGATGCTTAAAGCTTGCAGACAGGGGCAAGAGTGAGTCAGGTTCAGCGCAACTGTCAACTGTGACATCTTCCTTTAGTTCCATCCAGATGCTGGAAGACCTTCATAACGTCCAAGTCATGACCTGGAGCTTGCACAGGGCTGAGGACTCTCTACCACCTATGTGACAGCACTGGGTGCCCATGTGGCCAGTAGGCAAGCACTGTCACATGGGCGTGAGTCACATGCTCCTCCATACCTGGAAGTATGGGGTAACTTATTGGGCTCAGAACAGAGCAACGGAAGGTGAGCATGTGCACCACGGGAAGGGGGCATTTAAGTGAACCCAAGTCCATACACGGCGCACGGTTTACCTGCTCAGCACTTTCGTGACCTCGTGGGCATATTCAGAATAACGTTATCCTCTCTACACAGCACATGACAGAGTTCACTCCACATCGCACCCGCATTACATGGCCCATTCATAAAATGCACGCCGCGGTACGAAGCCCCGTGTTGTCCTATGGAGTGTACTTGGCCTAACACGGTAGAGTACTCTCTGTGAGAGGAGGAGAGATCGTTCACAGGTCAGGCTCCAGGGACTCGAGATGTCTATTCGAGGTGTTGTCATGCGGGAGGTGTGGCTACAATGGCCGGTGTGGATCTCGGCTTCAGATGCCGATAGATCTATGGGTTCCGTGTAGTAGTTCACTGAACACAGGCAGGTAGCCGTTAGGTTGGAAGACCCAGATCAGATTTAGAAAGCAAGTGGTTTTATTTAGCATAGGTTATACCCAGTCAAGACTGGGAGCAACTGGTATTAACTGGTAAGCATTGGCAGTTCCCAGTAATATGCTATAGTAGTATAAGGATACTTGCGGTGAGTAGATGTGGGGTGTGTTGCTGCCACCCGGTGGCATCGGGTGTGAAGTGCAGGTCTTCCCTGTGGCGCTGGCTCAGGGGAGGAGATCTCTCTGCTGAGTGGGCTGGCCGAGGGCGGGGCCGCGGAGAGGCTGAGGCAGCCTTGGAGGAGGGGCTCTGTCCGGCCCGATAGTGTGGTAGCAGGATGGGGCTCTGTCCGGCCCAATAGTGTGGTAGCAGGATGGGGCTCTGTCCGGCCCGATAGTGTGGTAGCAGGATGGGGCTCTGTCCGGCCCAATAGTGTGGTAGCAAGATGGGGCTCTGTCCGGCCCAATAGAGTGGGAGCAAGATGGGGCTCTGTCCGGCCCAATAGAGTGGGAGCAAGATGGGGCTCTGTCCGGCCCAATAGTGTGGGAGCAAGATGGGGCTCTGTCCGGCCCAATAGTGTGGTAGCAAGATGGGGCTCTGTCCGGCCCAATAGTGTGGTAGCAAGATGGGGCTCTGTCCGGCCCAATAGTGTGGTAGCAAGATGGGGCTCTGTCCGGCCCAATAGTGTGGTAGCAAGATGGGGCTCTGTCCGGCCCAATAGTGTGGTAGCAAGATGGGGCTCTGTCCGGCCCAATAGTGTGGTAGCAAGATGGGGCTCTGTCCGGCCCAATAGTGTGGTAGCAAGATGGGGCTCTGTCCGGCCCAATAGTGTGGTAGCAAGATGGGGCTCTGTCCGGCCCAATAGTGTGGTAGCAAGATGGGGCTCTGTCCGGCCCAATAGTGTGGTAGCAAGATGGGGCTCTGTCCGGCCCAATAGTGTGGTAGCAAGATGGGGCTCTGTCCGGCCCAATAGTGTGGTAGCAAGATGGGGCTCTGTCCGGCCCAATAGTGTGGTAGCAAGATGGGGCTCTGTCCGGCCCAATAGTGTGGTAGCAAGATGGGGCTCTGTCCGGCCCAATAGTGTGGTAGCAAGATGGGGCTCTGTCCGGCCCAATAGTGTGGTAGCAAGATGGGGCTCTGTCCGGCCCAATAGTGTGGTAGCAAGATGGGGCTCTGTCCGGCCCAATAGTGTGGTAGCAAGATGGGGCTCTGTCCGGCCCAATAGTGTGGTAGCAAGATGGGGCTCTGTCCGGCCCAATAGTGTGGTAGCAAGATGGGGCTCTGTCCGGCCCAATAGTGTGGTAGCAGGATGGGGCTCTGTCCGGCCCAATAGTGTGGTAGCAAGATGGGGCTCTGTCCGGCCCAATAGTGTGGTAGCAAGATGGGGCTCTGTCTGGCCCAATAGTGTGGTAGCAAGATGGGGCTCTGTCCGGCCCAATAGTGACTTCACAAACACACATGACAATTAAAGATTTGGTAAACCCTACGTGTATTTATCCCTCATACTCCATAACGGTCATGCAGATATTCCATGACACATTCTGCAAAAGGAAGTAACACAGGTAAAGGGAGATTCAGGAGCAAAGTACAAAAGTCACAGTAAGTAATAATTCATTTCCAGCTAATTTCAGATCTCTCTATGAATAAACTCATACTGTGCACATTCCTTTAAAACACACAAACAGCAGAGAGACATTTATAGCGATGTGTCATCTTCTACAGAGAGGCAGGGCTTTGCTTCCTTATGTCAAAGCTGCTCACCTTCCCCCTCGATGCGTGGTGATCTGTTGACTGGTGGGGTAATGATAGAGATGGAGGGAGCAGAGATCTACACAATGGATGGAGAAGAAGCAGGGAGATCCTTGCACTGCAGGTCCTCAGGTACAGCTTCCTCTCCGGCAGGGAGAACAGGTGACATCGCCAAATCTCGCTCCATGCTTGGTGGGACCAGCAGGCGCAGTGCCTACAATGATCTCACGCTGTAGCCATACAAGTTCTGTGAGACCAAAGTGGAATCATTCACGGTGAAGTCGGCCGTGCTTCATATTGTGATTTGCGAGTTTTGTTTTTTTTATCATTCTTCCGACAACTCCTTGTGCCGATCTGTCTCCTCAGCGGGCTCCAGCGTGATGTCCTGTATCAGCTGCTTCTTCCTGTTCTTCGGAAACAGCGAGTCCGCCATGATCGCCCTGCTCTGCCTCTTCGGTGGGATCAGCATCGCGTCGTGGAACGCTCTGGACGTGCTGACGGTGGAGCTCTACCCCTCTGACAAAAGGTGAATGGAAGGACTTAGCTGTGTGTGTGTGTGTGTGACTTACAGCCGCGACCTCCTTCCGTGGGATAGCCGAGGGCTGTGTGGGGTCTGAGCCCTGATCTGGGAGCACGGTGTGTATATATATACAGTGGGGCAAAAAAGTATTTAGTCAGCCCCCAATTGTGCAAGTTCTCCCACTTAAAAAGATGAGTTCGGCCTGTAATTGGCATCATAGGGAGACCTCAACTATGAGAGACAAAATGAGAAAACAAATCCAGACAAATCACATCGGCTGATTTGGAACCAATTTATTTGCAAATTATGGTGGAAAATAAGTATTTGGTCAGTGTGCGCACCCTCCAATGAGGCAGACGTCGCACAGCCAACGTACACACAAGTTTTGCGGAACCAATCAGATTGTTAAAGGAGAACTATGAGGGGGGGGGAGGGGCTTTTCACTCACCTCATAGTTCTAGCCGACCTGTGACAATGAGACTGTCACAGGTCGGCTCAGTAGATCGGGAAGTGAGAGAACACATACCGGCGTTCGCTCACTTCTCGATCCTGTCA